CATACAGACTGATAAGTATGATGAAATGATACAATCTGATGTTAAGTCATTCAGTATCCTCTTGCTCTATTTGAATGACTGCTTCGTACTCTCTGTACAGGTTTCTCATAAGCACAGTTAAGTGTTCTGGAACTCCCATACTTCCCAGTGTTATCCATAGTTTGTTGTGATCCACACAAATTCCTTTGCATAGTAAAACTAAATAAATAAATAACACACATCTTTCTGGTATTCTCTGCTTTCAGTCAAGATCCATCTAATGTCAGCAGTAATATCCCTGGTTCTAGGTGCTCTTCTGAATTTGGTTTCAATTTCTAATAGTTCTCTGTCAACGTGCTACTGCAAACTTTTTAAAATTCACTTCAGCAAAATTTTACTTGCATGTGATACATACTCATATTGTTCGATGATTTTAATAATCCATTGGGCTACCTTTCTTAGGAATGGACAAAAATATGGATCTCTTTTAATCACTTGGCTAGGTAGCTGTCTTCAAAATTTCTTGGCATAGACGAATGAACGCGTCACTGTTGAACGATTTCAATTTGCATTTCATCAATTCCTGGAGCCTTGTTTTTTGCCAATGCCTTCAGGGCAGCTTGGATTTCTTCCTTCAGTACCATTGGTTCTTGATCATATGTTTCCTTTTTGGTACAGTGACTTTATGTATTCCTTCCATCTTCTTTTGATACTTTCTTAGTCATTCAATATTTTGCCCATATGTGTGTGTGTTTTAAGTACTGTGGAGTCAGTTCCGACTCATAGTGACCGTGCACAAGAATCCTTAAATATTACAACTTGAAGCATGTATTATTACTTCAGTCCTTTCTTCAGAAATGCTGAGTGTTCTTCCCTTTTGGTTTGCTGACTCCAGATTTTTGCACATTTCATTATATTTTACTTTGTCTTCTCAAGCTGCCTTTTGAAATTTTCCATTTGAGTTCTTTTAACATCCTCATTTCTTCCACTCACTCTAGCGTCTCTACGTTCAAAAACAAGTTTCAGAGTCTCTTCTGACATCCACTTTGTTTTTTGCTTTCTTCCCTGTCTTTTTAATGACCTTTCTCTTTCTACATATATGATGTTATTGATGTCAACCCACAACTCCTCATGTCTTCAGTCATTAGAATCTAATGCATTAAATCTGTTCTTGTGATGATCTCTAAATTCAGTTGGAATGTACTCAAATTCATATTTTGGTTCTCCTGGATTTGTTTTCATTTTCTTCAGCTTTAGCCTGAACTTGTATCTGAGCAATTGTTTCAGCTGCTAATATTGAGCTTCTCACCAAGTCTTCCCAATATGCAGTCCGTTTGGTTCCTGCATGTTCCATCTGCTGAGGTCCACGTGTATAGTCACTGTTTATGATGTTGAAAAAAGGTATTTTCTATAAGTCAGTGCTAGTCTTGTAAAATTCTATCACACGATCACCAGCATCATTTCTAACACAAAGGTCAGTCACAGTCTACATACAAGGGTCAGTCAAAAACTATCCGCCCTCTGGTTCTCTTAAAACTTCTGTTGGCTGCACTTTCCGTTCAAGGTCACTGCTGTGCAGGTGTGAGCCTGTTACGTCACTCGGTTGGGAACTGCAGTGCCAGGAGAAATGGCTGCCCCTCTTGTGATCTGCACGAAGGAAGCGCAGTGTGCGGTGATCCATTTCTTGTGGTCTGAGGGTGTGCCTGGGGCCGACATTTTCCGAAGACTTTGAGCACAGTATGGAGAAAGTGTTTTGTCGTGAAGAAGTGTGTATGAATGGATAGAGAAGTTCAAGGAAGGGCTCACCAATGTCAGCCACGAAGAAGGAGTTGGATGCCCGTCCACGTCCACGGCTGATGACAACTTTGCGCGCGCGTGTGAAATGATCATGTCCAATAGACAGGTGACCATGGATTGCGTGGCAAGTCATTTGCAAATCAGCCACGGCTCTGCCTATGAAATCATCCACAACAGACTGGGATTTCAAAATGTTTGCACGAGATGAGCACTGAAGCAATTCATGGAGGAGCTTAAACAGAAGCGTTTGGACATCTGCAAACACAAATTTGGACCAATACTCAAAAAAAGGTAAAAGTTTCTTTTTAAAAAAAAATCATTCCTGGTGACAAGACATGGATTCATCACTAGGAGCCTGAGAGTATGGAATGGAAGCATCCTTAATCGCTGACCAAGAAAAAGTTCAAAATTCAAGCATTGGCTGGAAAATTGATATTTACAGTTTCCTGGGAATCTCAAGGGTCAGTATTGGAATGCTATCATCAGGAAAACGGTTCAACAATCAACAGAGCTCCATTACATTGAGATGCTCACTGAAGAGCTGATGCCTAAACTTCCACTTAAAGACAGAGGACGACTGCTATCCAAGGGTGCTGTGATCTGGCATGACAATGTACGTCCACACACCTCTGCCCACACTGTTGACAGTCTCCAAAACCTTCGTTCTGAGGTGGTAAAACATCCATTCTCCCTATAGTCCTGATCTTGCTCCATCGGACTTTCACATGTTTGGTCCTGAAAGCAGCTGTTGGAGAATGAAAATTCACCTCTGATGAAATGAAAACAGCAATACATTTGTGGCTTGAAGCTCAGACTGAAACATTTTTCAATAAGGGAATACAAAAGCTTGATGACAGATGGACAAAGTGTGTTGAAAAGAAAGGAGATGATATTAAAAAATTATATATTTGTCTCTTCTAAAAGTTTTAAAGTCGAATAAAATAAATTCTACAGTCACAGTGTGGATAATTTTTGACTCACCCTCGTATTTAAAAAACAAGCCAACAAACAAAAACAAACACTGCCATCTAGTCAACTCCAACTCCACAGGAGCAGAAAGCCTTTCTCACGCTGGTGGATTCAAAGCGCTGGTACTGTGGTTGGCAGCCCAATGCACAACCTACTAAGTCACCAGGGCTATAGTGACACTCCACCTATTTTTGTTGTTGTTATATGTGTGGTTGAGTCAGTTCTAACGCATAGCAACCCTCCCTGTAAAGGGTTTCTCAGGAGTGGCTGGTGTGTTTGAACCACTTACCCTGTGGATAGCAGTCTAATTCTGATTCTACAGCACCACACCAGGACTCTTAACCGTCCCAATCAATTCCCTGCCCAAAAGAAAACAGCACCGCCTGTGCTAAGGGGCCGTGCCTACGAGGAACCTCCCCTCTGCAAGGTTCCTTGGCCTTCAGGCTCCCAGGGAAGGAAGAGGCAGAACAGCTGACTCAGAATATGAGCCAGACTGGACACCCCAAATGCTGCTCCCATTACAGTTCAGTGGGGAGAGAAGCAAGATGCCTCCAAAGGCACCTGAGAAAACATGAAATGGGCTAGGCCTGGGGCGGCGGGGTGGTTGCCTCTAGACCACTCTTGCTCTATGCAATCTCATTTGAAAGCTTATACATTCAAGTAACGATACTAGCAACTCAGTTTTGAGTGGAAAATGCAATTTATGCGAGCTAATTTGTTCTGCAAGCGATTTGTGAAGATAACTTTTTGAAGGCTTATTATAATTTCTAAATATGTCTACAAAAAAAGAAGAATAGTGCTAACAAGAATGGAGTGTTTGGAAACAATATCAAATTTAAAAAATCAAGCAAAAATGTCATTAGCATTATTTTCCACGGTATGATCAGTGTTTAGGAATTAGACATTTGGTTGTCAGTCATAACCAACCTCCAAACAAAGAAGATCTAGTTGGCAGAGTTCACTGAACAACTGCCAAAACCCAAAATAAATTATTTCACCCAGGTTCATTTTGCAATATAAATTTAATTTCTTGTTTGGAAACTTAGAATTTATAAAAAGAACCCTGGGGAATTTGAATTTTAATAATCAATTATTCTTCAACCTGATTCATCTTATAAGCATATGGATATGCAGAAAATTAAATTAGCTTAAAAAGCCAGACCTTTAACGCGCAGCTGAGGAAAACTTTTATATAAATGAAGAGTAATTGCCAAATGTTCTGATGCCATAATACAATTTTTAGCTCCATGATGAATAATGTTTCTGACTTTGAAAGGAACTTTGAAGACACTGTTCCTTTGTTTCCTTGTTCCAAAGAAACAAATACCTTCCGTTATCTTTTATTTTACTCACAGCGAAGGTTCGTGGATTTTAAACCCTTTCATTTTAAGGGTTCTCCTAACACATCGGCATCATTCTAAAGCTCAGGATGGCTCTGATGGAAACACAAGGGCTGGGCCAGGCCCTATGGAGGAGACTCAGCAAAAGGAAGGCAGGTTCCCCTGACCACAGAGCACTTGGCCTTCAGCCGCAGAGCTTAGGCCAGAGAACAACCCAGGGAACGTGAAACATGGTACAAGACCACCACCTTTGGCTCAAGGAAGCTCCAGAAGCAAGCATAACGTCTTGGATTGTATAGTGCAATCCACACTGAGTATAGCGTCTTACAAACCCAAGGACCACGCAACAGTAACTTCCCAAGGCAGAAGAAACTTAGTATTCTTGCTATTCCTTGAACTGTATGTCTTAAACTAATATGAGCGCAAATAATTTCCAAAGTGCTGCACATATTTCTGCCATATCTTTGTTCTTCAAAACCCTTCTTTATGTTTGCTTACACAGTTAAAATAAAGTCTTGTCTGAATCTGTAAGACAGATACACATTTCTATTAATTTTTTTAAATTGTCAAACTACACCTACAAGTATCTTGCATAGCACACCTGTCCCTTCCTCTGGGAGACAAGGCCCACGCATGGCCCACGCAGGCTGTTTAGTACATCTGCAGACGGCTAAGCCAACTGCCTCTGCTAAGCCCATGTCAATCCACTCTCCCAAGCTGTGCCTTCTAAGACAGCCAGTGCTATTTGGACAATCATTTCCAGAGCCTACTCAAAGTTGAGCTGTGAGATTTCTCCACCTGAGGCCACTGGCTCCCTCCTTCAGAGTGAAGACCTGGATGACCAGAGTCCAAGGCACGAGAGCCAGTAGCAACAATGTCTCACCAAGGGGTTGGGAGCCAGCCCGACAGACTCACGTTCACGGCTTCGGTCTTGTACTCATCATCACTGTCAGGGGCCGAGAGATGGAGTAGGACTGGACACACTTTGTTCTCAATGTCGTGCTGAAAAATTAGATCCTGTTCCAGAAGAATCAGCAGTACTTCCTGACTGGACTTTCTAACCTAGAAGAGAAATGCAAGCAACTTAGTCATTGGCTACCAAAAATGCGGGGCCTGTAAAGGCACAAAGTGACTGGCTTATAAGTTTTCAAGAGGGAGTTTAGTTTCAGAATGTATGGGGGAAGGTAGAATCCCTACTGAGTGGATTTCATTTTGTCTGGACAGGTCTAGTGAAAGGATATGGGGATAAGACTCTTATGATTCAGTAATGAGTAACTGTGATCTGATTAACTGCGATTATTGCAACCATAAAGGTAGAAACTTTGTAGCAAAAATCAGGGAGTGGTTGATCTTGCAATCCAGAAATGGAAGGCCTGGGACCATCAAGGGAAAAAGCAGAAGCAGAGTGTGGGACCCTATCCAGAGAAGCAGCAACACCAGAGATGGAGGAAGAGATGATGATGTGGCACAATGGAGCAGCTGAGGGCTCTAGACTCATGGAGGGAGAGGGGCTATGTGCTGGCGGCCGGGGGGCAGGCTCACAGGGTGTGTCCTTTGGTTGTTTGAATGATTGCATATCCCTGAGTGTTTTGGTGCACATCCAAAGGAAAAGAACAAACAAACAGATGAAATAGAAGCAATCCTGCTGAATGATGATGAACAGAGGGGATTGTAATCATTGCAGTGAAATGAAATATGAAAGGATACGTGTAAAACTGATGTTCTCCCATGTAAACTATCACTTGATTCACAATAAAAACTTAACAAAAAAAAAAAAAAAGAGAGAGAGAGAGTAAATGTGGCCAAAGGTAAAGCACAGCACAAGTAGGTCTGCTCTCAAGGTCCAGGCCAGACTCCCCATGCCTTCTTCTCTGTGGGACCCACACCAGTCTTCTGGCCTGCCTCTCACACTTCTTTCCTGAAGCCCCTGACTAGGACACTCCTCAGCCCCCAACATCCTTGTTCCCTCTGCCTACCTGACCCCTACCCAGCCTTCCCTGCCCTCTTAGGTTAACCGCACCCTTACTTCCTGGGTCCCACTCTACACTCCAGCAGCACCCTGGCCGCTCTCTTCACAGCGTTTACACCAGAATCTACAGACATGCGAATGAGTGTGTGTGTGTGTGTGTGTGTCCCCGTACGGACCTGTATGTTTGCACTTGTATGCCATCACTCCCACCTGCACAGCAAGCTCCAGGGGAGCACACCCACCCTTAGGACCTGACAGAAGAAGTACAGAACGCTGCCTCCAAACTGCAGGCTCAGGGACTGGACACACCACGCCGTTCCTCTCCAGCCTGAGAATTCACGTGCAGCATGCCTAAATGTGTGCTATGTCAGGTGAGAGGGCCCCGAAGAAGAGCCACTGGGAGTCCCCGCGTGTGTGGAGAAGACGGGGACCCAGGGGCTTGTCCCCTCTGCTGTAAGTGCACTCACGTGCCCAGAGCACTCCCAGGATACAGGACCACCCTAAAAAGCTGAAAGCCATCTGGGGGAAGTGAGATGTGCACACAGAGAGGAGTGAGGAATGAAACGTGTGCATTACCACGCACGTGCACAGGGGCCGGGCAGGGGGTACCGGTGGGACCCAGCCATGTGTAGATGGAGTCACACATGATTAGGTAACAGCAGTTATGAGAGAGAGCAGGGGTCACCTCACCAGCCTGCGAGACTGATGTCGGGGAGGCAAACTTATTAAGGCTCCCAGCCCGGTGACAGGATGGAAACAGCACTTAGATAGATGGCCCTGACAGTGGTGCTCAGAGGAAATTGGAGGCGACGGAAGACTGAAGCTCAAAGGTCAGCGAGGCAGCCCTCGCCACAATCCAGGCGAGGAGGCTGATGGGAGCCCGCACTGACTGACCGGCTGGCACAGCGGGGGCTGAAACTCACAAGGACACAGACCACCAGTTCAGTCACTGCCTGTGCCATCCCATGTGGTGCCAGGTGCCACCAGACAGGAGACTGTCAAGTGTGCTGGGCAGCTGTGGGCCCCCAAAAGGAATGTTCTCATCAGACCCCTGGAACTACGAACGCTCCCTTACTTAGAACAAGGGTCTTTTTAACTGAGATTTAGGATCTTGAGTGAGAGCCCTCTGGATTACTCCGCTGGGTCCTACAGCCAATGACAAGTGTCCTTGCAAGAAAGAATAAGGAGGCAGAGACTGGAACATGGCCATCAACCCACAGACCCTGGGAGAGGCGAGGAGGACCCTCCCCTTGAGCCTTCAGAGAGAGCGCGGGCCTGCCCACACCTTCAGTGCAAACATCTTCAGTGTAATAGATTTCTGTTACAGCAGCCCCAGGAACAATCCATCAATCAAGGAAAAGACACAGGAAGGCCTTCCAGGCTCAGAGAACAATATATTCAAAGGCACAAAGAGATGAGCCCAGGGCACACTCTGGAGACACCTGGAATGTTCCAGACAGCAGCAGCGAGGTAGATGGGAGGCTGAGGAGCCAGCTGAGGCCAGGCTGGGAAAGGTGTTCAATGCCCAGCTAAGAACTCTGGTGACTCTTGCAGGTGCAATGGGGCATCATAGAAGGGTGACAACAAAAGTGGTCCCGAGAGCTGGGAGAGCAGGAGAGGGGAGATCCACAAGGATTGGGAGAAGCACTGAGAACAATCACCCACGATGACAAGGATGTCTTTACCTCAGACCACCAGAGGGTGAAGAAGACAGGCTCATGTGAGCTGTCCAGGAACAGCTGCCCTGGACTGATGGGTCACCTGTAGGCAGATGCTCCTAGCCCAGGCCCACAAGAGCAGGTGACACCATTCAGGGACCAAAGACGACACCCTGAAGAACACCCACCAGGTGCCAGCTTCCTATTGTAAGGGGTTGAGAATCTAGAACAGGAGACAAAGTCAGTGTGGTGCTGTGGTAAGCACTGGACTGCTAGCCATAAAGTTGGAAGTTCAAACCCACTAGCCACTTTTTGGAAAGCCTATACAGGGTCACGACCGACTCGACGGCACTGAACAACACACAACACGCATGGATTCATCCAGAAAGTCAAAATTCTATAAGAATTTGAAATTCTCTTCTTTATTTCTCCCCCTGTTGATCAGCACTGTTTTCCTCATCTGTAAAATAATAGTACCTACCTCAAAGGGTGGAGTACTGGGGTGGCACTGTGGGTTAATGTGCCAGAATGTAAAGCCGTTTGAACTGCAAGGTTAGCAAGCGATTTAAGCTCACCAGCTGCTCCTCAGAAACCCTATACAGGGTCTCTATGGGTTGGAATCAACTCGATGGCACTTAACAACAACAACAACAACAAACCTCAAAGGCGACACCCTGAAGAACACCCACCAGGTGCCACCCACATAACCATCAACCACCACCTCAAAGGGTGGAGTCCTCGGGTGGTGCTGTAGGATATGCACTGGACCACAAGGTCAGTTTGAACCACAGGGTCAGCGATCAAAGTCACCAGCCACTCCTTGACAACCCTATACAGGGTTGCTATGAGTCGGAACTAACTCAATAACACTTAACAGCAACAAACAGTAGTTGTGAGGATGAAATGATCTAATGAACAAAAAGGTGGGAGCCCCAGAGAAGTGTGAGCACTACTGCTATCAAACCATTACTATAAGCAGCCCGAGGAGGAAGGCTTCCGGGGACCCCAGTCCAGACTGGCTTGATGATGAAACCCACAAAAGCCAGCAAACATGCCCTTGTCACCTTTATATCCCACTAGTCCTGCAAGAGCAATATGAAGTGCCTGGTGAGCACCCAATAAAAAAAACATCTTCAAAATACTCAACAAAGTCACCAGGGAAAAACATGCCTATAGATACAGGAGGAGAGGCGAGGAATTGCTGAGGTGCGAGATTGGGGGACATCAAAATGCCATACAAGAAACCAGAATCAACCACCGAGAGGTAGCTAGACCAAAGAGGCTTGTGTGGAGACGCGGAGGAGGGACAGTGCGGTACCACTTAGGGAAGGAAGGTGCAAGGACTCCAGAGGAGACACTGAGCTACTCAGGTGTCATGCCAGGCTGAAGGGGAGACCCATGTTGTTAGGGATGGTGGCTCCCTGAGGAAGGGGAGGGAAGAAAGAGCTGGTGGAAGTGGACACATAGTCTACACACAGTCTCCACAGTCTCCACACAGACTCCACAGTCTATACACAGTCTACACACAGTCTACAAACAGACTCCACAGTATACACACAGACTACACAGTCTACACAGTCTACACACAGTCTACACAGTCTACACATAGTCTCCACAGTCTACACACAGTCTCCACAGTCTACACACAGACTCCACAGTCTACACACAGTCTACACACAGACTCCACAGTCTCCACAGTCTATCCACAGTCTCCACAGTCTACATACAGATTCCACAGTCTACACACAGTCTCCACAGTCTACACAGACTCCACAGTCTACACACAGTCTACACAGTCTCCACACAGACTACACAGTCTACACAATCTACACACAGTCTACACACAGACTCCACAGTCTACATACAGACTCCACAGTCTACACACAGTCTCCACATAGTCTCCACAATCTACACACAGATTCCACAGTCTCCACACAGTCCCTACACAGTCTACACGCAGACTCCACACAGTCTCCACAGTGTCCACACAGTCTCCACAGTCTCCACACAGACTCCACACAGTGTCCACACAGTCTCCATACAGACCACACACAGTGTCCACACAGTGTCCACACAGACTACACACAGTCTCCACAGACTACAAATCCGGCTGCGACAGGACTCCATCAGTCTGCAATGGCTCCAATCAGTGGGTGAGGTGACCTCGACTAGGCTGGGCGGTTGGGGGAGGGAGTAGGAGATAAGCTGAGGAGGGGTGACTGCAGGGCTCTGGGTGGATGACAGAGGACAGAGAATGAAGGTGGTGGAGGGACAGCCCTGTAAGGAGGAATAGGAAGTACAGGCAGCAGGAAGATGGGGAAGGCCGTTCCAGAAACATGGTGAGTAGCTGGGGGAGGGTGGGCCAGGATTGGTCATGGGTGGGGGTGCTACTGAAGGGCAGAAGCAGCGCAGTGGGCAGTGGGGCGCCTGCCACC